AAAAAAAAAAAGGCAAGAAAAACACTTAAAACTCACATTAATTATTTTTCAGGAGAAGAATAGTAGAGATATGAAACTTTAAAAATACTCTTTCCTATCAAATTTTGGAGCACAATGTAACCACGGATCTGCTGAATTTGTTCCCAGGTTGGGAGTAAGCTGAAAAAAAAAAAGCACAAGCCAAAACAAAACAAAACAAAATAACTACAAAACCAAAACATACACCAAAAAACCCCAAGTAATATCTAACACTTGCATTACTCTCTTTTGAGGCTCTGTAAATTTAAAAATGGCATGTCATTTTTATGAACTTTTGAGTTGTGCTGCAGCTACAAAGCTGCTAAATTTGTTCCCAGGTGAGGAACAAATGTGGGGGAAAATAAAAGCCCCCCCCCCCAAAAAGTCGCTACAAAACAAAACAAGCACACACACAAAAAAATAGAACTTGCAATTTTTTTGAGGATCTGTAAAATTTACAAAATACAGTAACTTTCATATAATGCTTTGGATCAAACTGCAGCGAGGAAGCTGCTAAACTGGCCCCCAGTTCAAAAGCAATTAAAAACAGTATTTTAAAATCTATAAAAGAAGAGAAGCCACTTTTCATAACTTATAAACAAAAAAATGCTTAAAACTCTTTTTAAAAATGAAGTGTAGATTTAAGAATATTAAGACATAAATAAAACTTCTGAATGCAATATAACTTGAAGGATGCTACATTTGTGCTCAGGTCAGAACAATGGAAATAAAAATTCTCATATACACAACAGCAACAAAAACAAAAGCAAAAACATTGTAAACTCTTCAAAGAAAGAAAAATATTCTTGAAATGTGCATAAATCAATTTTTAAAATATTTGGATGATGTGACTATTTGAAAATGCTAAGAATTTTGAAATAAAACTTTCAGGAACAATGCATCTTATAAGTTGCTGAACTTATGCCAGGGAGTTGTAAATAAAAACCTAAAAGTCATAAATCTATAACAAAAAAGTAAAATTCTAAAACAATAAGCAAATCTTTAAAACGCATTTGTTTTTCTATCTGATGATACATAGATTTGAAAATACTAAGACTTTTCAGTAAAAATTTGTAAGCATAATATAAATAAAAACTGATGAATCTGTGCCTGGGTTAGGTTCTAATTGAAAAAAAAAGCTAAAACAATAGAACAATAGTAAAAATGAATTCTCAAAACTGGCATTATTTTTCCCTCATGTTCTAAAGTCCTAATAATAGCTATGCATTATATTATCATGTGAAAAAAAGGCTATAGATGAACTACATAAGGCATTCATTTCAGTTAGAAGAAAATTATGTTAAAATAGATTTTCAGTTGTTAGATTATGTTGTAAGATCAAATTAGTAATCAAAGTATGAATAATCTTTTTGTTTCCTTCAGTATTCATTTTTTCCAATTCTTTTAAGTACAAACTGTATGTGAATTTTTGCTTGTGCCCTTGACTTTTAATATTATGAAATTTTAGGATTATGACACCAAGCTATTTAATGGGATATGTTAACCAAGTTGACATAAAATATATTATTAAGCCAGTTTCCTGTTGTGTAATTTCCATGTTTAGTTTTTGTTTGGTTTTCTGTTTCACTTTCTTTAATTTCCATTTTCATAGTTAATATAAATTCCTAATAATAAAAAACTTGTCACATGAACAACGTAACCAGCAAAATGTAAGGCATGACTAAATGTGCCACTGACTTTATTTTACTTCTAAAAGCAAAATCAATCCTTTAGCTGTTATTACAACTTGGGTTTTAAATGCTTATACAACTTGGGTTTTAAATAAAATATATTTGAATTATCTAGGAGTTATATTTATCCAGTTTTCTTTATTTGTGGACACCCAAAGGCATCTCTCTATTATCTTCCCTTTATCCTTCAAGAAAGGGCTTATTACAGTACATTTGCTCTCAAATCAGTTCTAATAATTTATTTTTGAGGCTATCTGAAGACTAATGCAGAACTGGCAAATGGCAAATCTCTGGGTGACTTTTCAAGGATGAAGATAAAAGATTAACAACCTTCTTTGATTTTTCCAATGTGATTTATTTGGGGTTTCTAGTCAAGCTGACTTTTGGTTCTGATTTCTAGGATTTGATGAATATCCTAGGGAACACCACCTAGGAAGCTTGAGGAAAACAAACCATCTGTCAATAAAATGAGAATAGAGCTAGGTAACCGACAGATTAATAACCAGAATAGGTCACCACCAGGCTGGCAATACAGGGAATTCCTGGTCATTACAGTCATGCCTCTAATTCTCAGTGAAAGCGGTTTTAGCATCTCAAACTCCAAATTGTGCTTTAGTTTCCCCATGATATGGCAGTAAACACTGCCTTTGCTGATATCATGAGCAGCATGAGCAGCCCTAGTCTACACAGAAAATTAGAGGAAATTAGACATTCATGATCTTCTAGGCCATGTTATCAGAAACAGTGGGGACAGAGCTTATTTGTTTCACAATCCTATCTGCCTTCTTCTGCCTTCTGTCTCCACTCCTAAACCCTGTAAATTGTGTTTGATATGGTTTCCCAAACTTCATGCCCTCTGCTTTTTCCTGTGGCCCTTCTGTTCTCCAACATCCTTTCCTATTCTCTCCAGAAATATTGCTTCTTCCTGAAATAAAACAATACACAAACCTCTGTAAAGACAGTGACAGGTTGAACAAATTCACAGTAAGAGGTAAATGATTGATCCCTCTCTTTTCTTCAGCCCCACTCCCTGACTGTTTTAAATTCTTTTGGTGTTTGCATCTTAGAAAAGAAATCTGGTTAATTCAAATGATTGTCTGAAGCAGAGTTGGGATGGAGAGAGATGCCTGTTATAGTAAATGGTAAATTATCTCTTGAGCCTCATCCTCCCTTGCATTATGGTGAAGCCTCTGCATTGCAAACTTCCTCATCCAGCTCTCTTGAGAACACTTTGTGTACCACCGAATCCAAAACACATACATCACCTTTTCTCAGACAGCTCTCTTTTCCAAAACGACCCACAGTGACTGGGAAACTGTGCTCTCATTTTATAAAGGCATAGCTTCTTTCCTCTAAATGTCTGCTGATCCTGATGGACTTGGTGAAATGGTTTATAAAACATGAAGTAGTTTGTTTCAATAACAAAGTCAAAGCCCAGGCTGCTGATTCACAATCTCTTGTGTGTTCAAATTTTTGAAGAACCATGTATTGCCCACTATTTTGCTTCTGTCCTTATCTAAAGACTTGGGAAAGAAGCTCTTCTCTCCCAAACATCCAGAGAGGTATTGATTCTAGGAGCTCAGAAGACTGGATCTAGTTTAAGGCCTAAAATGTGGCAGTGAGAAATGTCAGACAGATTTTCAGGTTGGAGTGACTTTTGTGGCCTTAGCAACCAGCTTTCCTTCTTACTTCTCATGGAGCAACTCCAACCTTGTCTATGAAAAGGTACTCATGAAGAGCACTTGCCTTTCATTGCTAGTCTAAGGTAAGCTACCTACTTCTCAGGTCATTGCCTTGCTTGCCCAAGTTGGTGGTAGTACAACCAAAACTATGAATCACCTACCTCAGTTGGGTTCCTGGGACTTCTGAACTAGACCCAGTTCAAAGCAGCTTGAAGTTCCTAAGGAACAAGTTGATTGAAGAGTTCCTGGGGATCTGGAATTCACTCATTTACTTATTCAAAAAACTTCTTGAATACCAACCATGTAGCAGACACTCTAGGCACTGGGGATGCCTTAAAAATCTTTGCCTTATAAATAGAGCTTATGTTCTGGAGTCAGAGCAAGTAAAGGCAACAACAAATAAGCAAATTAAAAAGTAATACAACCGATGATAGTTAAGTGTTTATAGACAAAGATAAAGCAATATAAAGGGGAACATGTACACAAAAACAAATCTCATGATCCACAATATGACTGGATTAAACCTTAAAGGTTGTAAGCATTGACAAGAGAAGGATATTCCTCTCTTAATGGATAATTAAAAGCCAATGCTAGCATTATCAATGCATGAAAATTATCAATGCATGTAAGAAAGCATGAGAAATAAGACACTCCTAGAGAAAGATCTGAGTGCAAACTTTGTGCTCTAATTGAGAAGATTGGACTAAAAGCCCAAATCTAGTTTTTGTACTCAGCTCTACCACTCATTGTATGAATTTGAGTAAATTTCTTTCTCTCTTTGTGCCTGAGATCCTCTATAATTAAAATGAGCAGGTTAAACTCAGTTATTTCTGGGGTCCCTGATATTTCTAATGCTGGAACTACAAACTAATTCATGCTGAGTCAACCAACAGTACTTATCAATAAGGGTGATATGGGTGAGGGTATTTGCTAAGTGCCAGGCACTGTACTAAGCACTTCATTACTTCACAACAATCCTGCGAGGGAAATTTTAAGATTATACATGGGAAAAGTGAGGCTCAACAAACTGAAGAAACTTAAGATAGTCATAGAGCTAATAAGGGGCAGAATCTGAATTATCCTCAGTTCTCTATGTCCCTAAAGACTTTGTTCTTGACCAGTACTGCTATGTCCATCCAGGACTATGATTCTTAAATACAAGGAACAGATTTTTAATGGTGGAATTTCAGCCATTAAGGAGAAGAAAGGGAGGCTCTAGGGGATAACACATTCTTCCAAGTTTCTTTGAAAACATTATACAGAATAGCTGCCCGCTCCCACTTATTTGTGAGACAAGAAAGAGTTTGAATAATAATAGCAATATTAATAAATACATTTTCAAATGCTCAATATGAGGCCATAGGATTTTGTGTGCTACTTCTTGACACATATTGATCATTAAAAATGTATTTGTTGATATTGTTATTGCTATGAATGGCAAAATGGATTTAGAAAACCCGCCCAATGATGCTTATCTAATTAAAGTGGCAGAACCAGAACTTAAACACAGGCTGATTCTAAGCTTCCATCAGTCATGGAGAGACTTGTTCTAATAATAACAACAACTAACATTTATTGAATG